TGAGGTATACTGAAGAAGGTTAGATCAAGTGAAACACAACAGTTGATTATCCTAATCAATACACTGTGGTCAATAATTCATTGAAGCATTTTAATAACATTTTTAAGTTAAACAATTTCATCAAGCTGAAATTTGTTTTTCCCCTCTACTCAACGATATAGAAACTAATGATGAAACAACTGGTGGGTGATATCTTTTTGGTGTTTTATAAAACTCTCTAACAGACGTCAACTTGTAGCTAAATCTACCGTGAAATAGGTTGAAAAAAGAAGTACATATTATCGAGTTCTCACAAACTCAACTAGTGAAAAGTGTTCATTGAAACGAATAGAAAAGTGAGGAAAAGAATTTTGAGCCAAAACTGCTTCAATGTAAGAGAACAACACAAGAAGTGTTTAATTTAAAACCGTTTCTTCACACTGATCATAAGATTTCCTCAGGGTTAACTCTGTGGCAGTATAAACCGCTTAACTAGGAAATTTTGTTAGCCTTCTTGTTCTCCAATTACGATTTCCAATTAGATGATAATTATGGTCAAAACAGAAATCACTTGTTTGTTATTTTAATTACTAACTCAGTAGAACAAAGAAAAACAAAAAAAAATTGATGACAGAACTAGCATTTAAAAAGCAGAATGTTAATGAATCTCCATTAGACCTTCAGTTTTCTTCCTCGATGCGAGAAAATTTGTTTACTGACAGATAAAGTTTTGACTCTCATTGGTGTTTATCTGTTAACCAATAAGAATCAAACCACAATGACCTTGAGGTGTGTCATTTGAAGCTGTGTAATTCAATGTTTTCATGTTGTTCATGACAATTTGATCTTCATTTTATTGCAAATAAATAAATAAATATATGTTGAAAGATAAATAAGAGGAAATAATTAAAAGAAGGAAATATTTTTCATTGATAAATGATGTCGAGGGAAACATTCCCTATCATGTTAATTGCTCACTGTTGTTACTTTCTTCTTCTAATTACTGTAATCTCTTTAACTGATGGATTTAGTCGATGTGATATCAAGCAATCTAGTCAACCAGAATCGGTGAATTGTCCAAATAAGACATGCAGTCAACACATCGATTGTTGGGTAACATATGGTCCACCACAACGATGTGTTTGTGATCCAATCCTATGCGGATCTGTATGCCTACCAGGTAAAATAATGTATTCATATGATTTTTATCTAGTTATTGATTGTTATTGTTGTGATGTCATGTAGGCCCTTAATGAAGGCTTTTTATTAATCCATGGCTTATGGTTAATTCGATGTTATCTGATTGATGGTGGCTTATAGTGAATTCTAGAAGGCGCGCTTCGTTCTTTTGTAAGGTTCTCCAATTATATGCAACTTCCCCCCCCCCCATTTAGTGATAATGTTCCCATTGGAACTCGAAACCATCTTTTTAAATGCTAATAAACCAAGAGATTGGCTTCTTGTGCAATAAATAACAAAAATGTGACATTTTGTTTTTATTTTTTGACAATTACTAATCCGACTAATGAAATTGAGTTGATTGAGCTAATTTGAAGTTAAAGGAATTTACTTTACACCGAAGTGTCCAGTGTCACCACTTTTTCTAAAGACAAGAAAAATATAACTATTTTAGGCCAAAGTTAAACTTTAGGCAGTGAAGAGGCCTACACTCTAACTCTAATGTCTCCTTAACCCACCTCGAACCGACCTTAATTTCTCCCTAATTAGGTTAAACTAGCCCTAACCTGTGCATAAACTAAACCTAACCTAAAGCGTAATAAACATTCCGTTTAATATCATAACACTTTATTAAGCATATTTTTCCAGGAACATCTGTCAAACCTCTCCCGTTGGTGGTGACTGGTGCTCACACTAAATTCAGATCATCCAGAGTCTTCTTATCGGCCAGTGCAGTGTACTCCTGTCTTCTCATTCCCCATTGCACAGTCGAACGCACAATTCAGTCCACCACAATTAAGAATATCATTGTTAGAACACTTCGCTGAGTTTCCCATTGTGGATCACCTGACACGTGGCGGGCATTTTCATACAGCCAGCAAGCGTTGAATGAGACTGATCAAGAATTGGACACTGCACACCGTAATGGTGAAGCAGTTTCCAAATTAATTTGCGGTCAACGCTGTCTCTCGAAAGTCTTCTCGAAGTCGATGGAGTTGAGGTAGAGAGAGGTTTGACTGCTATTCTATGCTTTGTTCTATGATGTTGAGGCGGAGAGTCGCAATCTGATCAGCACATGATTTGCCTTTCCTGAATCCAGCTTGAACCGGTGGGGCTGCGCAGTTTTTTATCCAGTGCATCTTTTATTCTCTACAGGATGACGTAACTTAGTATTTTACTTGACGTGGACAAGAGCATTATTCCACGCCAGTCAGTTCTTGCACAGGCCTAAGTCACCTTTCTTTGGTAGCTTGACAAGGTGGTCAGCCTTTCTTCGAATTGATAGCCACCTCTCCTTTCTTCCACATCAGTTGCGGACTCTGAATCCATCTTCAGTGCTTCAGGAGGAATTCCGTTCGGTCCTGCTGCCTTCCCAGTAGATTTCGGTAGCTTAGGCAGTCTCTCCTAGCAGTCTTCTTCACTTCCTTATTCAGTGTACACTGAACTAAGCTTCTCCTTCTGTTGTCCATTTTTATATTGAGTCATCTTCTCTTTCACCATCCTCCTTTCCCCGATTAGCTTTCAGGTATCCAATGGCAGGCATTTCTTGTTTTGTCTCCTTTTTCTTCCTAAAACGGTTGTGCACGTCTTCTTGAACATCACCCACAGATATTTCCAGTATTCTTCAATGCAGATTTCTTCAGTGATATCACGTAGTGTCTCCCATTTTACTCGGAAACACTACGTGGCACCGCATTGTTCGGTGGTTGCTCTACAATTACCAACTAGTGGAAGTTGGAATTCGTGGACCGTCGTATTAGGTCTCAATGACTGAATTGTTTAGAACCTTGCCTTGTAACCGCACGGTCTTAGAGTCGAATCTCGGTGGGTGCATACTAATGAAGAATCACAAATCGGTCCGAGAAAGCTGTCTAGTACTGCTTTTTTTTCCTTCACGTTCCCCAGTGGAACATAGGGCTTCAAGCTAATGGCTTGAAGTTTCTGTAGCAGTGTTTATTTTACAGGATGAGGTTGCTAGCCTCATGCCCAACCTTTCCTCTTCACCAGCATTATTTCTGGCTTAGCGAGGTAGAGGAGTGCGTCGGCCGGGGATCGAACTCCGGACCATGTGCATGGTCGGCGAGCGTCGTAACCGCTATACCACCGACGCACTTGTAGTAATGCTTAGTGGTTTTCAATTGTGCTCTAACTGACACCAATCCGCGATCGAGCTTGAAACAAATCGAATCTCTACTGAAAAACCATTGAAAAGTAATCTTGTGTTCACTAGTGATTGGCGAAAATGAAAGTGATACACAGTTTAATCATACAAAAACCAACCTTTAAAAGAGTCAGATAAAAATAAGTTGTTATTAGAAATATCTTGTACCAACTCTCTGAAGCTTGGAGTGTTCACGAACATAATGAATAATTTTCGAATATTCACCTTAAACATCATTTTAACGAGATAGAGTCATACAGAAACATTTCTCACTCATGTCCTATGCAATGTTAACATATTATTGATTGAGAAAACGCTTATATTCGACAGTTGAATATGAACAGTCGGGAAGAGACATTAGTCATATAATTTGTATTCATGTAATGTCATCTCGAACACATGCAATGATAGTCATTGAACATTGTCAACTGTCAACAGTATCGATCACATCACCAGAAAAAGATAAGAAATAATAACTAACTAGCCACAAAACGAAGACATTTAGTTTACGATTTCTGTGTATAAATAAATCTATGAGAAAAATAATCCAGTCATTGATGTGATCATGTGTAGTGGTTGCGTTCAACATACTACCAAAAAAGGCAACGGTAAAGAACAGACACCACAGCCAAATGACCTTGGAACAACCAATCATATTCTTCTAGGTGAATTGTGGCATTTATTGTATAAAAGGCATATTTATAAGATACATCTGTAATAAGAAGGAATTATACAGTGTAAATATATATCTAATATGCTACAAAAAGAATTTCCAGTTTTCCATATTGATGGCTGTAGTAGACAAACCACAATCCATGTATTATTATTATTATTTTTCCCTTGGGTTTCTAGTGGAACATAGGGCTTCAACTACACGTCTCCACTTGCTGCTATCTTCTGCTGTACTTTTCACTTGCATCCATGTTAATCCATACTGTTTCAGCTCCTCTTCACACTATCTCCTCCATGTCACCCTTGGACGTCCCACTCGCCGCTTCCCTTTCGGGTTCCACTTGAGCACTGGCCTGACGCGCGATGTCACCCAGCAGCCTCCTCAGCGAGTGTCCAATCCATCTCCACTTTCTCATGCATATTTGTTGAGCGGTTGGTTCTTGTTTTGTTTTTTTCCAATAGTTTCTTGTTGGTGATTCTTTCCGGCCATCTGATCTTGAGTATAGAACGAAGACATTTGTTGATAAAGGTGTGCAACAGGCTGTTGGAAATATTCTTTGTGACCCGCCAACTTTCTGATCCGTATTGAAGAACTGACTGACTTGACGTTTGTATTGAAAACCCGAATTTTGTTGTTGATGCTGAGTTGAGTCAGGAAGATTTCCAGATTGGTTTCAGGTTGATGAATGTGTTTCTCGCCTTCCCGATTCTCGATTTGACATCCTCGTCGGTTCCTCCTGTAGTTGAGACAATGCTCCCTAGATAAGTGAATGACGTAATCTTTTTCAAATCCCTCCTGTTGATGGTGATTGGCGCTGGATGTTGTTGCCTAGATTACTAGCTCACTTGTTTTCTAGCCGATCCCAAGCTCGGATAAAGCGGGAGGGTTGGGGCATGGTGCTAGCAACTGCACCCCCAAAACTTAAACAAACTGATACAGAAACTTCAACGCACAATCCATGTGAGTACCAGTTACAGGATCCACTAATTCTGATGAATGATTCACTCTGTGATGATGGTCAGATTGCTTAGCATTTCAAATGGATACTTCTCATAACTTTCGTTGCAAGTTTCACTTTAAACTTTGTCATACACCTACCTCAATCCTACCCTGAGCTCAACCCTGAATCACGATGAAACTTGCTACGGAGATTATGAAAAACATTCATTTGTAACAGCGAGAGAGATCTGATTGTTTTGTTCAAAGTCATTCAACTGTAGTGCTTATTCTTGACTGTTGTCCTGACTGAAAGTTAAACATTCAATTCATTCATTCTATAATTCGGTAAGTTTCTATGAATAAAATTAAATTACTGTTGGAATCTGTGAATTAAGCTTCAGTTGTTAAGGAATATTATGTTACCATATTGTATTACGTGGTGAAACGACTGTAAACATTTACAGTAAAGACATTTAGCTTCATTTTTCACAGAAAGATATTTGCGTGTATTGCTCAAGGAATGAAAAAACAAAACGTTATTGTTTTAACTGATGTTTGTCAAAAAATATTATTAAACCAAAATTTACAAAATCTTTGTTCTTCCAATGTATGTGCTTTGTCAGGTACATTTTAAATTGTAGAGAGAAGGATTATTGTTCACATTTCCTAATACGTCCCAAAGAACCAAAGATTTAGTCACCCACATGCATTAAACAGTGCGATCGCGCACAATCTATTGGACATGTTGTGGACAATCTACAGGCGTTCAGAATAATCAACAGGCAAAATAAACCTACTTTACTCCGTTTGAAAGTAAATTTATGTGCACAGAAACAGACAGTAGTGAATCCTACACTGTCTTGGTGATAACAAAGTACACAAATTTTTTTATGTCATCTTCTGTCCTGTTTAGAAAACTTTATCTTCCGTCGAACTATGACTTGTCCTAACCCCTCCTTCCATTCTTGGCTGTTTTATAAAAATATATTTTCTGTAGTTGCGTAACCTATTATCTGTTATGCCCTTTCTGGTTAAACTTTGTTTCTACCCACAAAAAATCTTCTGAACTCTGTTTTATGTTACCAATCTTATTTGCCTAATTATCCTGTAAGCAGTCAATCGTCCTCCCAACAGATTACATCATTCCTGATTTATGTCACACTTTGTTCTTACCAATTACCCTTTATCATCGTGGGGAATGTATGTTCAAATCTTTATTGTAAGTGACGCTTTTTGTAGTGTTCAGGAGGTTGTTGACAGATGAGAAGAATCCTTGAAATGATGATAACAGATGGACTCACATTATCTATCCCGGTACACATTAGTCGTTTTTGCTTTGTTCAGCTTTTGTGCATTAGCCTAAACACTGTTCTTCAGCATAAGGTAATTATTCTGTTCACATTGTCAACTGCACGAATTGGTAAAGATAAAAAATCCTTTGGAGATTGTTGAATTCGATAAGTGTATAAAATTATAAAACCAGCGTGATTTTACACAATGAAAATTGTGTTGTTTCTATCAGTTCATGGGATTGTGTGTGTGTGTTGGAACCAAAACGAATTCTGTCTTAATCCATCATTCTAATACATACAATTTGAATTCCACTTAATATAAAGTTCTCCCAGTATGATAAGTTCTGGTTGATTTTTGAGATGTTTTGGGATAACTTCACTGCTGTCAAAATCAGAAAGAAGTGGAGATGGATTCGTAGTGCACTGAGAAGACTGTCGTTAATTGACACCACTTTGCAGGGCCCTCGAAATTAACCGTATTTGAAAGCAACGATTCGAGTACCTTAGCGTGACACTGAGAAGAAAGCCAATGGGTATTTATGGGGCCATTAGGAAAAGACTGTAAAGAAGAAAGTGAAATGACCACGTGTTCTTGAAGCCATATGTTCTACTAGGAACTTAAGGCATAAATTATAATAATAAATACATCACTGTTTGCAAAGTATTCACATTGCTGAGAGTTTCATAGAAAATCAATGAATCCATTCAATCCTGCTTTATAGATAACACTAGTTAACTGTTTTAAATGCAGTTAATGTTCTGAATTTACAAAATAAACAGCGTACTGCTGTAGAGTCCCAAACTAGGACGAAACAGTTGTCCAGTACTCCCAGGTTTTCCAATGGTTCTCCAACTGATGTCAGCTCATGATGAAATCCTCCATGCAAACACAACTAAACTTAGTCATTCTGCAGATATTGAGATGCTGATCGATTAAGCTGAAATAGAAGACTGTTAGGTTCAAAGTACGTATCAAATCAATAAGTGATAATGGATTACCGATAAATCCCTCAGGAATCTATTCGGCTGATGGCCAATTTCGTAGCTTAGCTGATTATGCACCAGACTGATTGTTAATCCAAGGGAACCTGGTTCACATCCCCTTGATATTTTGTCATGCAGTTGAATTGTCTGTCAGCGTGCTGCCTCACATACACAGTATGCTGACATAATAACAGTATGGTATTAAAGAGTATATGAGTAAAAGATTTTTAAATAAGTCATAGAATAGAACTTGAGTACTGTGGTAGATTAAATTTAATTTGATAAAATCATACAGTGACACGGTTTTATTCACTTACTGATGACGTTTCTTGTACACAGTTTCTTGTTCATATTCATATCAAAGCACTCACATAACCTTCCAACTTGATTCATATAATTCTAATTGTTTCTCATCCTTTCCTACCCATTGAAAGCGCTAACACTTTCTGGGGAGTGTGGCTACATTCACCTGATAAGTTGTGGATAGTGTGAAGTGTTCATCTTAGATTCCACTGCTAACCATCATTAGCCGAATAACATGATTTGTTATACTTTAAAAAATAATATTACTACTTATAAAATCAAAGTACACAAGAAATAATTGTAATTATACAAAGGTAGTTTATAAGTTTTGTGGGTCCCCTGATATAAATATGAGCAATAAATCGGGCTGGAGGCGTCTTCATTAATTGAATAATACCGTGTCACTGTGTGATTTTATCGAATCAATTTACTCTAGGAAGTGATACTAAGGTGTATGCCAACTGACGCAACCATGTTAGTAGTATGTTGTGAAACTGTCTGGATAACTCTTGAATAACAGAGCGACTGATTTAGCTGCGAATAGGAGAAATGTAGATAACTGTGCAACAGTAAAGACAGAAACAATGAAACGAAGACAAATGAAGTGGACTGCTGTTACTCGTGTACAAATAGGAGTTTTAACTTAAAGTTTACGCATTTTGCAATCACTATAAGTGATTTGGTGCAACTAACAATTGTGCCATCGAATACCACTGTGTTCTACTGTCACAATACTTCTAGAAATAAACACATATTCACCTTATTTAGTCATTTTTGTGACGTGACTTTTGCGATCCACTGGCGTTTATGGATAACACTATGGTGTTTGAAACGATAGGTAATCAATTCAAGTGGAAAAGCCATCATTCTCTGGGGTATATTCTCAGTGGACGAACTCTGAATAGGTCGAAACGCGCGTTCTGAAACCTACCACTAGCCATCATGTACCTTGTTTACACTTTACAAACCTTAGGAATATATAAATAAGTCAATTTTATTAATAATTTTCGAATATTTCATTTCAATTTAGAAACTGCAAAATGTCCAAAACCTGATGATATAATCAATGGACAAGCTGTATTCAACGATACTGATGTTGGTGATATTGTTGAATACACCTGTAATTCTGGTTACTCTGTACGTGGACAACGTAAGCGGCATTGTTTAGCAACACTGAAATGGAGTGGAACACAACCAACATGTAGTAATCAAACTGAAAGTAAGATATGTTTCGATAGTAAACGTATATTACATTTTTTGTCATTCCTTTTGTAGTATGTGGCTTTTCTAAGGTGAGCTTGCTAGCTCCATACCCAGCCTTCCTTTACTTACGGGCTTAAAAACAGTTAGATGACGCTTGAGAGTGCATCCGCTGAGAATTTCTAACCCGGATGTCCTGCATTCCTAGGAAGTATTCTACTGGTGAATCATCAATGGACTACACACTGCGTAAATCTTGTAAGCTCGAAAAATGCTTTCACTTGTCATTTAAATGTCATTCTTAATTTTTTACAAAATTTAACCAAAACTGACTAAAATCCAACCATCCACATTATTGTTGTTGTTGTTATTGTTGTTTAGATATTAGAATCTCTTATCTACAGGGACATCTTTCATAAATGTTAAATCCCTTCAATTTTATGGATTTATTTTGAAGAAAACAGACTGATATGTCATCAAAAAGTAAAAATGCACAACATTTCTGACTACCATGGCTTATTTTGTATGAATATGTTAGTGAATTAGGAATAAAACAAATAATTTGACTTTGCATATTGTCAAGGGAAAACGATTTGTTTGTTTCCCTCTGAGTACGTGTTTGTGCATGTGTGTGTATGTACAAAAGAATGACTTAGATGGCATAAACAAAAAACATTCGAAATTGTTACAGTCTATACATTACAGTAAAAATCAAAACAGAAGCAAAATGTTAATAGTGTGAGGACTGTTTCAAAGTAAATTTCTGCATGAACTGTCATATACTCCTAATTTTGTCTTTACCTTTGTTTATAACATTATTATTAATTTTTTTTCATTCGGCTTCCGAGTAGAACATAGGGCTCCAGCAACACCCCTCCACTCTGTTCTATTCTCTGCTGTCCTCTTCAGCTGTGTCCACGATTGTCCATAATCTCTCATCTCCTCCCCCCACACGATCTCCTTCGTGACCCCTCGCACCGACGACCCAGTCGTCACTTCCCATTGGGATTCCTCTGGAACGATGGCATGTCTAACGCGCGATTTCATTCGATGGCCTCCTAAATGTATGCCCAATCAATCTCTATTTTCTCCTACATATTTCTTGAGCAATGGGCTCATGGTTGGTTTGTTCCAAGCCAAAGTTTATTGTTACTAATTCTTTCTGGCAACCTGGCCATTTGATCTTAATTAGGGAGCAGGTCAAGTGGCGACTGTTAATAAAAGTCTGTAGTGGCTTGTTGGAAATGCTCTCCATGACTCACGCGCAGTGGAAGTTTCTGACCCATATAGAAGAACTGACTGACTGACTTCACATTTGTGTTTATAACTTTAAAATAACTATATTTCTGCAGTTAACGCACATTCAAGGAGCTTTCCTATCTCCCACTATTTGTCAAAAATTCATCGGTAGAATCCTTGACAACGCACTACTTAACGTCACTTATGCAGTGACAAGTGTGGAAAACAGGTGAGGCCAGTAACCCTCAATTCGTCAAAAAGAAGTAAGGCTACTGAAATTCTAAGGCCTAAAGCATGAATTTCGATGTTTCGCTAGGAGCGCAAAGGAATCCAACATACAAATAAACTCTTTGTTAACAATGAAACTTCATTGATTGTCACCTCTTCCTTCATTTAGTTAGATTTAGTGATCGCCGGTGGTATTTACACCTCTGTGTTCAGCATAGCAGTAAAGATTTTCACTGTTGTTTGAAATAATTAAAGCTCTTTTCTTTATCATTGGTCTGTCTTCTCTCTTCTACTCGCCTGCCAGTGGTTTATTGTTGCGCCCGTTGTAATTAGCAGTTTCATTAGTTTCCAAATATCCATTAAGTACCTTTGACAGCCGTATACAAGGTGGTATAACCGGTCACATTATGAACCAGAATTACGCACTGGTGAACCCACCAATAACTGCCTCAATCTAAACAGAATACTCAGAATATTATATTGCAAAATATATACTTCTTGTACGAAAATCTTCAAGTGAGATAGTAGTCAATAATATACCATGTGATGCAATATTCTCTGATTTGAAAGAAAGCCCGATTACCTATCAGATTTTCTCCCTGCATTTCATGATACAATGTCCAACAGTATGTTGAAAGCTGGTTAAAAAAATACGCACGACCGGATGATTTAACCACTGTGAAGTGAAGTAGATATGGCTGATTCTGTTGGATAGAGATTGAGGTAACACCCAATAATTAAGTCAGGCATAAAATACCTTGGAGTAGTTCTATCATCTGACCTTATATGATCATCCCATATCTTACCGATTTCTAAAAACCATGTTCCATCTAAGCTTCTACATTAAGAAGTTGAGAAAATATGTAATCAATCAGCCACTACTTACACAATTCGTTAATTCTTGCATCTTACACTTTGTACTTTACTGCTCCGCCATAGTCTTTCCTGGGTTACTCAAAACGGACTGTTTCATGTTGTGAAGGGTATTAAGGGTTGTCAGTAGGGCAGGTAAGTGATCTGCTACTTAGCTTGTTACTATTTCAGTCGACAGACCCCTGAACTCATTTGAGAAATGGTCTAAATCAATATTGTCTGACTCTCAATACGCCCTCTTTACAACTGTCCACGCCTTGCATCTCATCACTCAGGGATAGAAGTCATTATAAAAGATAACATGCTCGCACAAAGAAGTACTGAAACTCAACGATACCATATTTGATCGGCGTTTTATGTGAGAGATATAGTGTTAAACGTGAAACCCACGACTTACTATGTAATTAGCAAACTAATCGGCGGTTTCATTCTCTCTCATTTGTAATCTATGGTAAGACTATATCGATCAACTTATAATTTTAGTTATTAATATTATTATCATCATTATTACACACTTTCTGTGTATTTTTGACTTTATTGTCACTGTTAATACCAAAAAAACTGCCGATATCAATCCTGTAATAATATTTTTTTTTTGGTCCTGCTGTTGTCGAGTAAATTAGATGCAATAATATTGTACCAAATGCTGAGAATTCCGCGTTGTGTCATATAAGTACTGCTTTGGAATAAAGCAAATTATTACCATATAAGCAGGCCACCTCAGCAACCATTTGAATTTCTGTTAGTTCACAATTTAGTGCTACTGCTATACAGTGTCGTCGAAGGACAACCACAATGAGAATCCCAGAAAATCCATTCACGTATTCAGTTAACAGTTAGCAGATGAGTAAATTTTAAGTGTTCGTTTGTAAGAATTTAACTCAATCACTGAAAAGGTGTTTCAATTGAATAATAAAACGTTTAACTAACATTCTTTTCGTTATCGCTCTCTCTCTATCTCTGTCTCTCTGCCTGTATTTCAGCATGTTTCAATGCACCAGAAATCTTGAATACTCGAATTGCTTATAAAATAGAAAATGGAATGCAGAAAATTCGTGATGATTTTCGATCAGGTGAAACAGTGAGAATTGAATGTTTGCCTGGCTATAAAGACTCTGATAATAAACAGTACACAGACGCACTGTGCGTTGGAACAGATTGGCATTATACAGAATTAAAGTGTGAACGTAAGTGAAAAGTGATAATACTTATGCGCTTACCCTTGATATGCTTTATTAATGTATTAAATTAACAATTATATGAACAACTTGAATTATTTCTTTTTTTATTTGTTGCTGATCGGCCCATACTTAACAGTGGGATACTAAAGTGTTTCAGAGATATGTGGATGATATTCTTTCTATACATAAAAGCAATAGAAAAAGGGAAAACTCATTTTCAAAAGATATAATTACTCACACTATGCGTATCTCAAATTTACAGTTGAACATGAGGGAATTAATTACTATTGTAACAGCAGAAGGCAAGGTATCTTTTCCACTGATTAAACCACTATTTATATATATATATATATACAGTTTATACAGTTTGGATATCATTATGAGCGATAATTTGTGCTCAAAACGTTGTCATCAGTACATATTACTGTATAACACTGTGTGATTTATCAAAATAAAATCTTATCCGTAATGGAGTTATACTCTACCACAGTGCACAAGTTTTATACTTATATCAACAATACAGTTTATATTCTAAAACCAATCACTAAGCGCGTGAGTTCGGTTTAACTTGAACAACATGAAATAGAATACTAAAATACACATATATTATTATGTTATTAATGCCTTATTGAACTGCTGGAAAATTATTCTGACTCGAGCAACAAATAGAATGTTCAAATAGATATATAAAGTATTCTGTTGCTAGTGCTGTAGTGAAGTGTGTGAATATATGAGAATAATATTCAGTTGGAACACATTGTCTGTATCACACCACCACACTATTAAACTCTTAGATATCACCTTAGTAAAAAAACAGGATGAATGGATATCTGGATGGAAAGGTTCATCTACACGAAGCCTTCAGAGACTAAATAACAATTTCATTTCATCAAAGAAAAGTAGTTAGAACCTTCTTTGATAACACTGAGGAAACTTGATCAAATATTTTAGACAGAAATGGCCATTCAGAAGATTTCACTAACATTTAATTGAAAATTAGCGGGCATAAGGGATTAGTTTCTGCTGCTCCATAAAATGCCAATCTCCACTGAGTTACATCTAAAGCGGAACAATGTTTTTTGCAATGGTTAGGCAAAGACGAATTAAGGCATTTGGAAGAGCTTGCATAACATACCGGTAATCTGATAATATAATATTATGTATATAAAGTTTGAAGCTACTCGATGAAAGCAAATGGACAGGTCATGTGGAAAAGCATTTCCCTACTGACATGACTGTAGATTTTTCCGAATGGTTAAGACAGAATAAAGTAAGTGGTCTTGTGGAGGTTCATCACGAAGTACTTAAAGGAATACTTATACAATAACAAGAACACTACTGAAGCCTTCTTAGGTATGAATTCAGCAAGGCCTGTTGAAATAAATTCTGTTGTTTCTCGTAAAGTTTTATCGATCAATAAATATTTCAAATTAAGTAATCGATGACAACTTCTGTAACTGTGTGGTAACTCTTGTTTAATAGAACATCTGTATAGTTTTCGACATATTTGCCTCGTTTTTCATGTCAGATAAGGAAGCCACACTAAAATCCTTTTGACCTACAGACTCTCTCCGCTAGTTCAAAATATTTGACATAATGTTAGGTGGTTAAAGGCAATCAGCAGGAAACGCTCAACCTAAGTTACATGCTTACCGTCACTTGTCAACAAGGCGTATCTGCACTTTTAAAAGAACTAATATCCCTATCTGTGATTCTTGACTGGAGGCATTGACTATCATTAATCAGGACTATTCAGAGGACACTGTTTACTTTCCAGCTGCTAATTATTGTGTTCACTGCAGTCTTACAGAAGGCTAGTCATGATTCGAATAGCTCAGTGGTGACGTTTTTGACTTCAACATCGTGGGATACAGTTTCCACTTTCCAAGGTGATATCAGTGTTTTCAAGGTTATAGACACATCATGTTGACATGTGAGGAGTTCCTGCGGATTGTATTAAACTGTCTAACATCAATCCAGTGTGCATAGTGATGGACATTTACCCATCTTGGTGACCAACCATAATGGCAATCCGATAAACATAAATCGGTTAGTACTATCGGTATGATCTATAAGGGTTTGCTGTCTGGGTTTGAATAAGTCGCCCCTAATATGATTTGGGTTTACATGATCAACACTATGAGTAATGCTGCAACTAGGGTTCTATAGCGCAGTGCAAGAAGTAACAGAAATCCGTTATGTATAAACATTCCCTAACTCAGAAAGTGAAGCCAATAAATAGCCAATTAAATCTTTGTAGAAATCTGAGCTTCAGGATTGTCCAGTCACATAATACTTGCTATTCTGCATTGACCTGACGGTTCAAATTTTTCCAGACTGTTTTCAACCAGTCTTATTGATTGGGTAAAATCAGGTGTATATAAAAATTATGCACTGTTTTGTGAATAATCCCCATCTAGACATCAATGAAAGCAAAACATGGCGAATTCATTCACTTAGCTGTACAATTGCAATTATATAAATAATTATTTCTGTATGTATGTATATATTAGGTTTTTCAGACAACAGTAAAAATCAGCTAGGGTTATTGTTTACGCCATCAAAAATGTCAAAAATGTGATAAATAATCAAATCATACCTAGAAGGAGGGTGAAGATTAGTAAAGGGGTAGTGGTGATGAGTTGTCCAAAAATACACAGTTGTTAATGCTAGTCAACGCATAACAAAAGCTGAACTATTATTATCATAATAACATAATAGGGCAAATAATTTAATGAGTGGGTTTTGATTTGGATGCACGTAGAAACGAAGGGAATTATGGCATTATGTAAGATTTGTAAAGAAATATAAGAGTTGTAAAGAATTAGAAAAGCAAATACACATACACCAGGTCAGTAGAAATCAACGTGGTAGTTGCCAAGATAGTGAAAGCGGTTGAATGATCTTCTTTTGTATACTCAACTATGGTTTCTCCAACTGAATGGCTGAAGCTTCAGAAATGGAAAGGAGACGAAAGCCTATTGCCTTCGGCAGGTTATTCTCCACTTTGCAGATTACTGTGAAGGAGGCGTTTGTTGAGGTAGAATAGCCAGTTTTGGCACTGTGTTCAGTTATCTCACTCCCTATAGAGCAACTACAACTTTTCTGCAACTCCGCGGGATAGTGGTCTTGAACCTTTTTCGAAAGAATACGTATCAAAAGACCGGCATACCTGTCTCCATGGCAACAGGTGAACTGATATGTACGTATAGAAGTGGTCAGATGCGAGATCTCATCCTTAAAGCTTCTTCATACTAATGGACAACTGGAAAACACTACCGTTAGTGTTATTGAGAAGAATGTTATTCTCAAAGATGCTGAAATTCTTCTCTTGAGGAAATTGTTGACTAAGCCTTTCTTGAAATCCAGGTTCATGTGGGGTTTTTTTTTGGAAAAAGTGGTATTTTTTTTCTTCTGGACTTTTGGTCTGATGTTTTTGTCAATGAATCTTGGTGAGTATCCATTTTGGATAGAGGTTTCTTTCAGAAGATCTAGTTCCACTTCCAGACAACAGGGCTACAGATGTAGTGGATCCAAGTGACAAGGGAATTAACTAGATTTTGTTTTTGTTAGACGGGCAACCAACTGTAGAAACTTGTTAGTTAACCATTCTAAATGGATTTTCTTTGCACCAGACAAATAATATTGTTTATGGTGTATTGACATTGTTCAATCAATGTCACATTTGGCCTGTATTTTGTAAATCAGTTATCCTTACCAGTTCACACTCATCCATATATCTATCTGTTCATATTGATCAAAGTAAATACAAAGTTCCACACAAATGAAGTCGTCTCGAGAAAATGTTTCGATTTAAAAGTAATCTCAACCTTCTCATCATTCCTCTGCATACTCAGTTCAACAGATGGCATGAAACTCTGACCTTTGACATTTCGCTACTGGTGTTGTTACTTTCATGGAGTGAAGTTGCTTACCGCACGCCTAACTTTCCTCTCTTTTCGAAGACTCCTAATGGATGGTAAACTAGGAGAGGTTTCGGAATGAGTCAGCCAGAATCACATGAGTGATTGGTGAGTATTCTACGGTTGAAACTTTGCCCTCAGACTTATGACTGTGGAGGCGTTAATTTAACCTGAGTGAGTATTTGGGTTTAAATGCTACCCTAATTCCTGCTTTATTAGGAATCCTACGAAGGGTCTCCGATGTCCCCTCCCTATATGGTAAAACTGTGGGCATCTTGTATTCTTTCTTATTCAAGTTATCATAATTAGTTTTACCATTATTTTTATTTTGCTTTTGACCTTTTCTGATCTTCTTGATGAATTGTATAGGATAGTTATTTAATACTAACGCTTCTTCTATCTGTTTTATTTCATCATTTAGGTCTTTAGTTGTACTACTTAGTGCTGTTGCTCGGTTTGTTAAACAATTAGCTAACCCTGCCTTAACAGTTAACGGATGAGATGAATTTTTTTTTTGTATAAAACTAAATTGTTTTGTTTTAAGGGCTCTACAGGATCCTTTAACCGACAAAGCTTGTTTCTAATTGAGTTTGTGGAGAGTTTGACTGCCAGCCACTTTTATTCCCACCTTGTTAAGAATCCTACGTAAGGTTTGCAGGGTTTTTAATGATGACATACATGTAAAACATGCGCAAGACAACGCTAACAATAAGGAATCTAAGTCATCAGTACTAATTCCACACAAGGAAGGAATAAACAATTTAGTTTATCTAATACCTTGCTGGAATGATTGTCAGGTCAAATACACAGGTCAGAATAGTAGAACAGGGTCAGGTAGACTAACCAAGTATTAAAAAACCTAGCAAAATCTAGGTTGGTTGACCCGAATAAGATAAGAAATTTAGAGAATAGTTCAGCTATAGCCCTCACTACATGCAGTTACATACAGCCATACAATAGCATGGGATAATGGGACAGTTTTGAAATATAACTTACATAACAGGGTGGAGCGAGAGATTGATAACGCAAACTTTGTTTATCGAATCAACTGCAAATACATGTAATAGGAATGATTCAACACCTGTCCCAGATATCTGGAAAATTCTACTACCTCTACGACAAACAGGAGAGAACAAAGAAAACTATAAAACTCAGGTTTCGAAGTCGTGTGATTATAATTGATGATATGATTATGAACAGGAATAAATTGTGTTCAAAACGTCATCCAGTAAATAATGCTGTTTCACTGTGTGATGCATCTAATAAACAAACTAATATAAAGTCTAAATATCTTATAACAGAATGCATTGGCTTTTCAAAAACGCCAGTGCGCAGTTTACCTTCTTCTGTTCGTTTTATCTTAAAATTTATTACCATAGCTAATTCTCTTTATTCATTTTCTGATTCAAATGCCAATTGTATTCCACTTACTACTGAGTTTGAATGTGTGAAGAAACTACAGATATGTTCTGTTTTAACACTGAAAGTTTCATCCACATACCTCCAGCATATTATGGGAGTAGGATTAAATTTGTTAAGAGCTAATATTCTCCCAGATATCCTTAAAGATATAACACTGTGAGACTTTATTAAATTAAGCTTCTCCATAATAGAACTGCATCCATCTCTCCGTCATTTGATATTCCTGCAACTGATATACATATTTTTATCAATATTTATATACTACTTATAGGTCGAATCAGTAGCACATGCCACTTTATCTCTGCTATTCGCATGGTGTTCACTATTTTACGCTTAACTTTTTAAATATAAAAATGCGATCTAACTTAACGTTTTATTAACGTTTAAACAATTTAATAAAAATCTGATTTCCCATAAACATTTTGTCCCACATTTCCGTTTTCCTATCTCTCTCTCTCCGTCTCTCAGTTGAAGTTTCATTACTTTTTTCGTGTCTCACATAACATATTCTTTCATCCACTTATTCGTTTATTCATTTATTCGGTTAACATAAAGTGAACCTCTCAGAACACTCTCAAGCATTTCGTTCACTTGTTGTACTAAGTTGTGTCCTTTTTATGAAATAGAAATGCATCCATCTTATCTTACATTCTAATCAATAGAAAGTCTTGTTCAAATTCTAAAAGAAAATTCGAAAATAGGAACGAATCAAGTTGAATCTTTCGTCATTCTCTTTCTCTCTCTCTCTCCCTCTCATTCATACGGCATTAACATATTATATATTTTCTTGTCTTTTTGGATTGTAAATCAGTTAGTTGATGAGTTTAATTCACGGAACAAAATGAATTCATATTTCCCCAGAGATGATGTTAGGTTTCCGTGTCCCCCATTAAAACAACTATCATTATTCAATGTTCAATGCTCAACGTTCAATGTGTATGATATATGTATGTTTGTTATGTTTTGTTTTTTCAAAATGCAATGAAAAATTGTTAACTGAACTTTCTGTTTTTGTATATTTAGTAAGATTAAAAATCTTAAGAAATTTACTCTGTGTCTCTACCTCTATCTCTTCCTCACTCACTTTTTTCTAATGCTATTCGTTTCAATTTATGTGAGTTTGCTTGCGTGTGCCTGTAAAAATATAATCTGAGATTAATTTGATGTTACACTGAAAATATTATTTTTTTAAGTATCCTTCGGATAAAAGTCTAAAAGTATGTTGAATTTAAACATTAATGTGTTGTTGATAAAAGGATTGTGTGAGATGGTCATGAATAAGTCAGCTAATATGGGAAAGGAATTAAAAATCTGTGTTGCAGCAGAATTCGAACGTCTGTTATTATTATCACCATCATTCTCACGGGTTCCTAGTGGGACATAGGGCTTCAGCAGGACATCTGCATTTCACTCTGTTCTCTACATTCTTTTATTAAGCTGTCTCCTTGACTGTACATAGGCTATCATCTCCTCCTCTCACAATCTCCTTTATGTCACACTAGGACCTATGTGCACGTCGTCGTTTTCTATTCGAGTTCCAATCGAAGGCCTGGTGGGTAATGTCACCCTACGGTTTCCTCACTATCTGTTCAATACATCTTCAATTTGTTCTGATTATTTTTTGGGCTAGGGCCTCTTGATTGGCACTGTCCTAGAACTCCTTGTTGCTAATTCTTTCTGGTCTAACATCTCATCTGCATTAAGCAGCAGGCGAAAGCAGCTATTGGTAACAGTCTGCCGCCTGTTTGAAGTGCTTTCCTTGACCCATGTAAATGAACTGACTTAACATTGGTGTTAAAAATCTAAATTTTGTTGTTGGTACTGAGTGCAGTGGATTCGCACATTGACTTCAGTTTGTTGAATGTCCGTGTTGCTTTACCGATCCTGTCTCTGAAATCGTCTTCCGTATGAACTGCCTGTAACTAGAACGATGCTGCCAAAATAAGTGAAAGAAGTAATCTCATTCGAACATTTTTCAAGTTTCTTAGTCAGTCATATGCCCGGAAAACGATGACAGGTTGAGCTTGGGACTAACAACTCTACCTCAAAAAATCGATTCAGCCGCCACAGAAACTTCAAAGTTTTGGAAAAAAATATAAATACAAAGTGAACTTGTTTGAATGTATACCCTGGGGATATTGGTCAGCAGAAAAGACATCTCCTTCATCTTCGCATCGATGAATGTAAATCGACAATCAAAAGATGCAACATTGATTTTTTCACATCGGTTCACGCTGACAAACATGAATATCTTGATCTAGGGAAACATGAAGAACGTTAAAGAATTCCAGGAACTCCTGCCAGTAGGATAAACTAACAATTACTAATATGTTGATATACGGATCAACTTTATCAGTCAATAAATCATTAGCCACACGATCAATAGGTCACATATTAGGTCAGAGAGACGATTGATATAATACAATTAGAAGTCAATCTTCAGAGGCAATCGATCAAGAACACCTGGAAAGATGGTCACCTCATGTAATAAGAATGATAGATTTATTATGAAAAATGAGTTAGTAAAGAGTACAGAATCCTCAGCAATGTTCTATTACAAAATGTTAACTCCTTGTGTAGAATCTTTCAGTAAAATAATAAACGGTAATAATATATTATTTGAAGCAATGTTATTCTGAGAGGAAGGACACCGTAATAACCTATAATATTCTCCCTATATTTTCTTCCAAAAATCCATAGAAATCCGTTTAAACCAACTTAAACATTGGGCTAATTACATGTTGCCATCCAAAAATGGATTTGGATTTGTAAAAAATTATATTTGTAAAATCTCAACGAGATTGAAATGATTAATTCCAACGTTTCGTTTAGCAATCTGGTCCGAACTTCTTCAGGAAAATTAATCGAAATTAACATAGGTTTATATATAAAAGGAACATCACTTGTTTTTAAAAACTTTGTCCAATCATCAGTCATTCAACAAGTATCAACAAGTACAATAAACAAAATTTTTATGAGCTGTGATCAAAATTTGACCCCGGACTTATAAATATTGGTCTACCTTTGTTAAACACTTTAAACAGAGTGTGTATGTGTGTGTGGGTAAACAGTTGTAAAACATTTCATAACGTTTCCATAAGAAGATATGGACAGTAGAGAATTTTGACCAAGTATTAATAATTAGTGATACGTATCTATTTTTTATTTATTAATAAGGATTTCCTATACATCAGCTGAGATTTTACAAATATAATTTTTTACAAATGTCTACTTCTCACTCGGCGCCAAAATATTTTAGAACTATTCTGTCAAATCTTGACAACAGTTCATTTGAATGTATTTGGATTATTAGAGAAAAGAAAGTAGTATCGGTTAAACATGACGTATTTTGATGTATAGAGAATTAGATTTAAGCAGGCCGCTAATCTGGAGGTTTTTATATATTTTTAATATATTCTTTGTGCGTTGAAGTTTCTCTAGCAGTCTGATAGCTTTTGTGATGTAAGGTCGCTAGGCTCACGCCCAACTATCCCTCTTTACCCAGGCTTAGAACCGGCCAGAAAACTAGCTAGTTAGATTCATATTTTCAACGCAAATATTAAGCCAGTCAGTCAGTTCTTCTATGCGGGTCAGAAACTTTCACTGTGTGTTGCGAAAAGGATTTCCAACAAGCCTTCCAACAGACTTTTATCAACAGCTGCGACCTGAGCCGGCTCCATACTGAAGATCAAATGGCCAGAAAGAATTAGTAACGAAAAACTCCGGTTGGGGACAAACCAACCAAGAGCCGATAACTCAACAAATGTGTAAGAGAAAATCGAGATGAATCGAGCATACTTTGAGGAGGCCATCGGATGAAATCGCGCGTTAGCTAGGTCATTTTCCGTGTGGAATCGCAATGGGAAACAACGAGTGGGTCGTTGGTGCAAGGGTGATATGGGGGAGATCGTGTGACGAGGAGGAGATGAAAGATTATGGATGGTCGTGGGGCCAACCAGCTGAAGAGAACAGCAGAAAATCGAACGGAGTGGAGATGTATTGTTGAAGGCTTATGTTCCACTTGGAACTCAAGGGAATAATAATAAGCTGCTAAGTTAACTCTGAAAATGTTGTCTAGGAAGACAATGAAAGGTTCACTATTAATCCTTCCATCTCACAGAACACATAATCCAAATGAGCTGTAACTCCTCTCTATGAACATGATTTTACAACTGCTAAGTTTTATAATGTTTAAAAAATAATTATTACTACTATTATTTCCTTTCATTTTATCTAACATAATTTTAAAGGTATATCATGCGGTTATATACACGAACCAACAAATGGACGAATCCATTATAAGTATGATCAAAAGTTTCAGTCTGAAGCAACAATCATCTGTTCAGAAGGATATAAAGTGATGTGTGATACAGGCTTCCTGTTGTCTACAGAAGACGGTGTAGGTGAGATTTCCTGCTTTTTTGGTTCCACTCTAATGCTTAAATGTAGTGTTTTGTTCTTGGCTAGAATGTATCTCTAATAATTTTAATAATAACAGCAGTAATAGGCGAGTTCATCAAAGATGTAATGAAAAGCTTGATGGTTTCCTGACTCGAATTAGTGTCCTTTAAATTATTAGCCTGGAGGTATATTAGCTCAGTTACCAGAAAAACTCAAACAATGCCCAATGAGTACATTCGTCGTCAGTTGCCGCAGGCTTCTAGGATAGTCAAACAAAAATATACTACTCAACATATACTACTGATTGGTCTTGTTAGTTTAAAGTCATCCACATTAACAGAAGAATATAAGATAGGTAGACTGAGACGATGAAAGCATTGCATGGCAGATGGAAAGTCGTTTGGAGTTAATTAAATCAACAGTTTGCTCGAAATGAATCAATAAAGTGACTATTTGATGTTCAGATCATTTTTCTCTAGCTGGTACCTAATGTTGATTGACGTTACTGTTTTCAAAGTAATGATATCAGTCAACCGTATACATCATGTGTTCCACTAGACTCTTTTCTTCTTGACATGATTAACAGTGTCTAGCCGGTCAATTATTGTGATCTAAATCCATGCTTGCATTTCAACATGTACTGTGTTCCTTATAGATTACCAAGTGAACTCATTATGTTTAAATGCTTACCGTTAAATGCTCTTGTGTTGTTGTGTTCTGAAGCTTTGATTGATTATCTTATTAGACAGCATTGTCAGTGGTAACTTTGAAAGGCAAAATTATTCATCTCACACTATCGATTTGATAATGAGTAACCGTGAAACCCAAGATAATAACTAGAAGGTGACATATAAAGTACTTGGTGAGGGAGGTGGCTTACAGTGGCGTTAAAAATCGCAAATTAATATAAGGTAGAAGTCATGGTCCATTGGATGCCGTTCAAGTGGGTGAACTACCAACGAACTCTACTCGTGGTCTGAAGGTGAATACTGTTGAAGAATCCTGAACCACCAAGAAAGTGCTTTCCAATACTCCTTAGTCTTCAGTGGTTCTCTAATCGATATCCATCCATTAGTAAACTTGAAATCAATCAAATCTCGAGAAACTAACATTTGAAAATTCTGTAATTAACTTCTCCCCACCTAATTATATTACTTTTTAAATATTTGTACCCTGTCGCATTTCATTGTGCGATTACGTACAAGTGAATGGAAAGCAATGACCTAGCTTCTCTTAGACATTATTTAACTTAGCAGGGTCGATCATTCTAGATCTTTGTAAATTCCAGTAATCCGATAATCCATTTGACTGTGATCTAATAATTTGACCTATTTAACTCACCTCAATGTCATGCGAATTTCATGCACAATTATATTATTTTCTCTGACTGGATCGATCATATCACTAAAGTAACTCGATTTATCTATCTATTGAAAGTATTCAGTATTTATAGAGTATTTAGATGAATATTCCTTAAGAGAAAAGAAGGCTCAGAATGCTCAAAACTTCGGGTAAAAACAAAGCTCAATCGTAAGTAGTTTGTTAGTTTAATAAGTTGCTTAACCACAAAAATACTATTCAAACGTCTTTCTATGCATACACAGATTTGGTAGTCGATCCACCGACAGTAGGCAGGCTGTGTCTTTTCTCCTTGCTGATTATACTGAACGCATTCAGACTGCTGACAATATGAAGAAAGTCCAACAGATGGCACGTTGCCACACAGTTTAAGTGTATGTGAGCTCTGTAGTTGCAGAAATGTGAACAATGTCCCTCCTCTCTGTTCTTCCAACGTATGCACTTTGGCAAGTATTTGCAAATTGGTAGATACGGCCTAATATCAATCAATAGGCAATCTTGAGTAAAGCTGAAGAGACCAAACCAAAACCTTAAAAGACTTTTAAAGACCACAATTACTGATTACATAAACTTTTCGCTATTGAACATTTATCGGTGTAGTAATTGTTTTGGTGAACCACTTTACCTCACTGTATATAAACATTCAATACCATTTCTAAAACATATCAATTATGTGATACATTCACCAAAATTATATACAGACGTTATAACAACAGAGGGTGATATGTCTGACTCATAAATTTAAGGTACTGGAGATATGGCATAAACCTTCAGAGGAAGAGTCAAGTGTTTGAATCCCACCCCACCTTCTTCAGCCAAATCAACTGAATAGCATAACTATCCGGCACACCACAAGTGTGTCTCATAGTGTGATACAGAAGAAGCCTCTCCTCGGAAATTGAAGTTTAACTAACTAACTAACCGATTTGGCGCGGTCTTAATTTTGTAGAAGGAGAACTACTAATAAATCTTATGTGCATAGGACTCAGATGTCCAGAGTTCTTAGGTCCACAATGTGTTTGTTTCAGCTGATGAACGTTCGTGAATCAACCTGTCACTGCGAAAATTACACGTTTTCACAGTGTTTTATCATACTGACATTAAAAGATGACATATACATGAGAATAATTTATTTATTCTCAGAACCTGGAAATGTTTGTATCCAGGAGCCTACATATAACCTCAGCTGGATTTCATTTAATTAGTATCACCTTTTGTATTTCTTAGTCAAGTATACACAGTAGTCTGAGGGTTATGTCCATGCCTTGCCTTTATTTTTTGTCATCGTTGGTTAAAAGAGGGGCAGAGTATTACTGAATCGAGATTTTCATTTATTATTCTATGTATTAGAAGTGTTCCGAAGTGGCCAGCTGGAATTCGACAGTTTTCAACTTATTCCACTCTCTTAGCAAAAGCCGTCTTGCTACGCTACTAATGATCTGGTTGGCCGAAGGAACATCACTTCATTCTGATTAACAGTTACTATTGTTTGATGTGAAATGTTTTCAACTACTTATGTCAAATGATCAGTAGTATATGGCATTATAGAATACTACTATATTTATTATTATTTTTTAGGATGTAAACGTGTCTGCCTAGAAAATGGTTCTTGGTCAGGTGAAGATGTCTACTGTAAAGGTATGTTTTATATTAACTGTTCAGTACTGTCTTTTATTGATTGATAATTTTCACTAGGGAAAGTTTTTACAGAAAAACAGAAATTCAGTTGGCGGATGGTTACTGGCACTGGGATCCAGGACAAGGAGCGTTTCGTCCTATTTGGGACTCGTCCATCAGCTGGATATAGCTGTATTCCCCAATGAGCGGTGTTATTACCACCTAGGCTTGAACCTAGTGCCTGTAGTTTCAACGCCAAAGCGTTTATCCACTGGACCAGGTGGGCCACGAAAACCACCTCTTATGCAGGACAAAATGCGCATCCTGAATTCCACTGCAAGTCACCAACCACCAATTGACTTCAGGTTACATGACTAGATATCGTCAAACCATCTGCACTGGAAGCCGACATGTCAACCTGAGACCGAGGACTTCGGTCTAATCAGTCGACAGGAAAATCTAAACTGAATTAAAGACAGAAGTTTTTTCAATAAATTGTTGCATAATAATTACATCTAAGTAATTTTTCACTAACAATACCTCGACACTTGGACCATAATGAGGGCTGAGTAAACGTTTTCGGTTGAATAATGTTAGCTTACAGTAATCTAGATATTCATATTCAGAGCATGCAGTATCTTACAATTATGACACTGGGAAAAACTGAAAAAATTAAACAACACAACTGGTGTGATGCATCAGACTCGCTACCTGTGGCGTAGGAAACATCACGAACGGACAGCATCATCTGATGTTCGAATATGCGAACAAACTTGAGTTTACACAAACTAACACATTAGAGCTATTCAGCGATAGTCTGTGGTTGCTTACATGATTTTAGCTCCGTGTAAATTCGATTACCTGAATCGTGAATCAAGTTTGCATTTTGTACAAATATACATTATTTCAAGTCACTACACTTTGGGAATGCATACAAAGATTGAATGAAAAGGGAAGGGGATGTGTGAAAAATAAAGAATGTGTTGATTGCCGAATACATATGACCCGGGTTGTCAACCATATATATTTGAATTCCTTCAATCCATAGCCTTTAAAAGCATGATAACTAGTGTTTTACAGTCTGCATCTCCCTACGTGGCTCAAAGTGAAATTCAACTATTCAGCATAACTGTCACTAACTCTTATCATAATAATGGCTTTATTCTGAACAGCGATTGCATAATGTATAGAATATTCAGCCGAAATCATTGCATAATAGTTTCTTCTGTCTAGGATCTTCAAGTATAATAGTGATCGACAGTAGATTACATGAAACAATGCTATCCCGTCTGAAAAGCAAACCAACCCCTAATGATATTTCTTCTTTCTTTCTCTCCTTCGAGAAATGCAGGATATTTGGTTGAAAACCACTTGAAAAAAGGGAGTACAATTCGAAATCCAAGCAAATAAACGAATAACTGGAGATCGCAGGTGGTTACTTGTACTGCCCAGGCAGTGGCAGTTTGTACTAAGAACGTTATGGACAGTTATCTCTTGTATTGGTTTACGTTTCCACTCACAATTCTGCATTTTTCAACCTGGTGAATCGGCAGGTTGTAGACATTTTAAATATTTGCTAGGGTAGAAAACACCATTAGAGGTCATATTTTGATAAATTAAAGCAAACCGAATGAGAGAAATTATAGGCAATATAATGACGGAGGTTTCTTTTGGTAGCCCAAGTTCTAAACAGGCAGCTGAAAATTTTTCATTTAACACTGGTCAGGAAAAAGAAAGTGACTTCTTGGGTGCAACAGCATAAGTCAAACATTATCAACCAGATTGCCAGTTCGTTTAACTTTCGTGTCACCAAGTCTAATCTCAACAGCACTAACCGTCTTTCCACGTTTAATAGGAGTAGTTGAAAGACTCTTTTGACCTTCACCGATATCCGCCATCCACTTGAAAAGCATAGAATCTAATTATTTATTGTAGTTCATTCTGCTTGTTCAACATTGCAGCCTTTTTTACTATTTCATGAGTTCAAAATAAAGGTCGTTTAAAGATGACATTTCAGAAGACCACTGAATTTTTAAACACTCCGTATATAGACTTAAATCGTCAGGTAAGCAACATGAAGAGTCGAGTGACTGGGATCAATGTTATTGTTATTATTATTCTTTTTACTTATGGCCTAGAGAATTTCTAATTTTTTTTCCCTTACATAGTTATCACATGTCCAGAACCTCAGTCAATTTTAAACGGAAAACATACAGTTAGCTCATTGACTGTCAATGGAACGCATATTTCTGAATGTGACGATGGCTATGAACTTCACGGTTCACAGCATCGTGTTTGTCAGCCTAATGGGAAATGGAGTGGACAAGAACCATATTGTAAAAGTAAGTCAGTATTTCTTTGTCCAGTAGAGGGATGATGATGATGACTTGACTGCGTAAAAAATCACTTGGACTGTTTCATCTCTTAGTAACTTTTTATAGTCAATTAAGTATCCTTTTAAAAAATGTCTGAATTCACTATGCTATGTAATCTCTGATTACAGCTAACACTGTACGGGATATAATAGCTCAATTGTAACATCGGTGACTGCAACACTGAGTTATACCGGTTCAAACCTCAGAAGGGTCCTGAGTCCCTCCAAGCTCACAGATACGGCTTACTGACTACTGGTGAATGACAACAATCACGATCGCTTCCAACCCTCTCATAAGAACATTTTTGAGTGAACCATTATGTCAAGCTACCAAGCATAGCGGCCATATTGCAAACATCACTGAGAGATTACAGAGGAGGACTAGATGCATGACACTAGCTAATGCCCAATCAAAGGAAATAATCATTAAGGATAGACTGAGTAAATATTTGCATAATCTACCCAAGAGTTTGATGAGTGAGTCAGAAAATATAACTAGTGAAATCAAACAAATAATCGAGACATATTTCAGCTATAGAACTACCCATTTGAGTTGATTCCAAAATCAATGAAGACTTACATGGAATTTATGATAAGTAATGTGGATAGTGACAATAATATAAATAGTAAAGAATTCAAAACCTCGTCAATACTTTAATGTAAAGAAAGAACATTAGAGGTCCTAATTAGAATTTTTATTAAGACTGGAATTAAGGTGGTATTTAAATCAACCAATTTACCCAGAGGCAAACCTTGTTGGTTTATGGACCCAACAGATTCAATTACAGAAAAATAATTGAATTTACCAAATACCATCCAATGACTGTGACCCCACTAAGTAATCTAGAAAAAACTCAGCCATTGCAATGCATTCATTTACACGCAGTCATACAATAGGAAGGGTTAGGGTAAAAATATTAAAAAGTGATACATTTAGGTGAACAATATATGAATGATTAAAAAAGCAAATTGTTCATTCATTTCAACTCTTTCTGGATAATACCAGCCATTACGTATTTGAAATAAAAATATTTTATTCTTTATTATCAGTAGCTTATTTGCCCTTCTTCACATAATTGATTTATATATTTCCTTTACTGGAATATATATCACACCATGCACTACTCATATCCGTCAATTTAAGTAGTAAATGTCGCAGTCTAAACAAATTTGTGTAGCTTTCTGACAATTTAAAAAACCTTCACTTCCCTGAATAAATTTCAGTAGACGTTAACTAATGTTTCTTCCAAGTTAGTATAGCATATAGGGCTACGAAAATAACTCAAAGGGAAACTATTTAGACCAGGTGATCCCGTGATATCAAATGACACAATAGACTGTGGGGATAAAACTTGGGCACTGTGTTAGAGTGTAATTCCACTATGGATAAAATTATATTCTGATGAAGTCACACAGTGTTACGCAATAATATTTACTGATGACAACTTCACGAGCACAATCTATTGCTCATAAGCATATCAAGTTACTCACAGGACATTCTTGCTTCGTTTATTTACACACGTACGTGTATAAGACAGCATACTACAACAGTCCACGAGAATCACTAGGCATATCCGAACAAAAGAATAGAACAAGACGACAACTGATAAGTCCTATGACAGTTAAATGAAATCAGTATAAGTATGAACAAAACGTTCTACAGGAGGACATTCTCTAGTGTAAATATTAATATTTCGCTGTGTATCCTGTCAAATTAACGAAATATGATAGTATTATTCTCTGAACTAATGCTAAGGTGACACTTCACCACATTTTTTCTTCTTGAGCTATCTGATTAATAATTTGAGTAGAGTATGACAGCTTATGAGTATGATTCGGATGTTTCACTTACAAATCTACACAGGATAGTGAATAGAGTGGTTCTCTAACTTTGAGTGTGTCTTCATTGGCATTTAATTTACCAGTCAGGTAGTGCGCCGAATAAACTTTAATATACTTACAATATAGTGTCAGAAGTTACAGAAAATCGTTCTCTTGTATGCAAATTTGAATCTGTTAGGGTTTTCCTTAGTGCCATAAACACGCTTAACTGGTAAAAACGGAGCAACACATTAGCCTAGAACGACAACTTCCTTCCAAATAACTTCTTCGGGAAAATTACTACAATACATGGTTAACATTCAGGTCTCGATAGGTTGATGGTCACTGGACAGGTAGTTCGGAGGCTTCTGGTCCAATACTGCTGTGGTTTAGATTTTCATTCTACCTTCAATCACCACACAGTACACAGGCGACAGTCTTACAAACGAAGACTAACTCAGACGGCCTTGAGAACTTCATGAATGCTAAATATTCTGTGATAGAGTAGTTCGGCTAATGTTCAATGTTGAGTTATGGTATATTTGTTAGTAATGTTCATTGTTTAAATGCATTTAGATACTTAATAATTATAATTTTACTTCTTTTTTTATTAAAGAAAGAGACTGTGGTCCACCACCTCAAATACAAAATGGTGAAGTATCCTATATAACAACAACATATGGCAGTAAAGGAAGAATTATGTGAGTTCAGTATTATTCAATAAATAATAATTCCCAATGAGAACACACAGAGAGAGAAAATAGAATGTTATAAGTATTGAGGTCATTTATGTAGCGAATTTCCTGGAATAATTTGAGCGCCAAGTCAAACTGAATCGTCATAAAATTATTTCAACTAATAATCACAGTGTGTTTAGAAAATCAAAACAAGATTTTGTAAAATACAGGTAATTCTTATACTTTGATAAAGCTATTAGCAGCATTAAGTAGTGAAGCGTCAGTAAAAACAATGTTGTCTTGTTTTTACATTCATTTGAAAATACAAAAATTCATAATTTATAATGAATACAGGTAATTCTGCTACAGAAGCTGTGACTTACAAAGTCAGACTTTCAGAAAACATTCTCTTTTGACGTTCTAAACAAAGTGAGATGATCCTAAGTATTTTATAATGAATGGAATGTTACTTTTTAATCTGCTTGGAGCGTCACGAAGGGCACTTCGAACAAACTACAGACTTTCATCAACACCTATCTTCTCTCAATACTACTCAGGATCATATTGCCAGAAAAGATCAGCAACAGGATCTCTAAGAGCGATCCAACCAGGAACCAATTGTGCAACAAATAATCAAGGAAAAATGGAGGTAGTTGGCCATACTCTGAGAAAACAAACCATCAGGTGAGTGACATCACCCGACAGGCCATTGCTCGAATGGAATCCGGATGGGAAGCGTTAAGTTGGTCGTCAGAGCGAGAGTGACATAGAGGAGGAGGTTATGTGAAGAGGAGATGAAAGCATGTGGGGAAACGTGGAGCCAGGTGAAAACGTTGGCAGAGAATCGGACGCAATGGCTGAATACCTATTTTTCACTAGGAACTAAAGGAGATAATAATAAATTTTAATCTGCTCTTTTATAAAATCCTGTTAAGCTGTGTGCAACATCTAATTAATCAGGTAAATGTAACTCTCATGATTATTTTTTCTGTCCCTTGAGTTTCGACTGGATCACAGGACATATCTGTATCATTCCTAGTCCCCAGCTGTCATTCTCAGACCACTCTACGATTGCTTACAAGCTTTTTTTTCCCTTTCACATCATCTTTACCATATCATTCCCAGGTGTCCGACCTGTAACTTCTCATTAGGGTTCTACTTAAGGACTTTGCATGGGATTTCACTTGAAGATCTCTTCAGAGTATGTTCAGTCCATCTTCATTTTCCTTCTGAATATTTTTCCAGTAACAGTGCGTTGGCTGGTTCACTGCGGAGTTCCTTGGCACTTATCTTTCCTGATAGGCTATCTGATCTTTAATATCATGAGAAGGTTTCTGTTGATGGATTTTTGTAGTCTGTTGGAAATAATTTCACTGAACCATATACCAGATTTGACTTGATATTAGTGTTGAAAATTCTGATGTCGTTCATTATGCGAAGTGCTTTGAATTCCCAAACTTATTTCAGACTAATGAACGCATGGCTTAATCTTCCGATCCTATCTGGCATTGATTTCCTCATCTGTTTTGCCTGCAGCTGGAATGAGGTTGCTCATTTACGTGAAAGGGACAGTTCCTCTTAGATGTCTCCCACTGACAGTAACTGATGATGGTTGTTAGTATTCGGGCGTTTCCAACAATTCTACTTCTTTTATGACCATTTGAAGTCGTTTCTCGTTCGTATAAAATGAGACATAGGTCATCTGCGAAATCCAAATCTAAAAGGGTCTTTTTGTCAGTCCAACTTATGTCCGTTTTATTATTTAATGCTTAGTGGCACTATTGTTTGATTTTATAGCGGAGTTTTTTAAGTCTAACAATCTATCAATGAGGCCTATATCCAGTTTAAGGATAGACTAGTGAACAATAGACACACAACTTCACAATTTCCAACTTCACAACTAAAACGTAAAGCATAAGTCATTTCATCCACAATATCTTGTCAGTTGAATTCGTCACTTGCAAATAACACATTTGAAGCGGAAAATTCATTATGACTTCATTTTGGAACTGGAAGTTTTCATATCACGAAATAATTGACCTGTTTGATATCGAAAATGGCAGTCATGGAAATAAGGAAAATAAGCAAAACTGTATATAATATTGGTTAGTTTAAGTAACTGAAGGCAGCAGTCACGTGATCGCTAGCAAAATCGAAGTGGTCTTAACACAGGACCCTCATAACACTTGAAAAGAGTTAGCTGAGATGGCAGAATCAGTTGAAACCATTTCAATTCTGGCTAGTTAATTAGCTGAACTGGTAAAAAAATAGAGTCAAATTCCTAACACATAGATTTCAAACTATTTGTATCAGTTAGCAATATTTACCATGCTGTTATCTTTTCAGTCATTTTAACACTAGACAGGCCATATTTTTGTCACATCCTTCAAAATAATCGTTGAAATTTGATCAACCTTTTTCTTATCCTTGATTAAATTAAAGTTATTCAAGAAAAATTTAAATTGTCAACTTGAGAAACTTGTTGCTTGACATAAATGTAACATTGAACACTTTTCACTTGAAAAATGATACCCAAATGAATATTCCTTACATAAACTGATAATTTCCTCTTTGCGTGACCAAGGAATGGAAGGTTATGGGTAATTGTGAAACCAGTTTAGAAAAAAACTGCAGAGGATAAAGTAAAGTGGAGATATCCTACTGAAACTTCATCCTCTGCATGGAACCCAAGGGACAAATAAGATGAGGAATGAATCACTTTATCCATATTTTCAACTTATTTAACACGAATAACAGTAAATTTTGAGGATGAAAACTTGGGGTGAAGCAAAAGTTTCTTTGGTTGCCTATGTTTATTGAGAAATTTGAAAACAATATTATTCAATATGCATTGGACAGAATATTTAGGAAAAAGCATAATTCATGTTTTATTCACCTTTGACCTCATTAGAAAAAAAGGAATTAAATAAAAAAACAATCTTTGCGCACGATTGACTTCATAATGTCCTTGAAAGACTATGATTCACTTGATAGGTCATCAATAAACGCTTATGAATGTTGAGTACTCAGTTTGGATTGCAGGGGGGGGAGAAGCAGAAGCTAGAAATCATTGGGATATTGGATTCACTGATACATCTCTCGTCTCGTATTGCAACATACCTTAGTTCAATCGTTCTGTGTATACAAACATATATATAATTGTAGAGCCTGGAAGAGGAATTTATCGAAAAGAATATTCTTTGCTCGATTATTATGTTTTATAGATGTCTGAATGAACATTTTGCAATATTAAAGACATTGTAATTAATATGCCCCACCAGGGGATGATAGATACTCATCTACGACATCTGATAGACTCTGCATCATGTGGCGAGTAAACAAAAGTCAGCATTCATGTGCTTTTGGACCCAAACAGTGTGGCTGATTGGTAAATGTGTTCAGCTCGTAACCTGAAAAGCCTCGGTTAGTTCCATGGTTTGGTCAATGGTGAGCACTGCTGGAGAATCGACACTGGTCTTAATGATCTCTTAATTTACATCAGCTCTTGACGAAGTCGACACTCCAAACAGTCAAAATCCTTATGAACTGAAACTTTGAGTCGTTGAAGAGCTCCACACTAGAACGAAACAATCATCAAGGACTTACTGGTAATCAATATTCAAAGACAAGAACCTAAAACCAAATAAAGCTCCTAAACAGCTCCAGAATGATCTCTCTGCTTAGTCTCGAATTTAACGAGTAACACCACCTTGCAAGAAACTATTCAACCAGTACTTGAAAGACAAGTTGTCGCATAGGGCCAAATCGAGATGCATATACCAGTTTTCTTGCTCTTGTAGAACTGCATACATTGGCAGTACCATGAGTCCGCTTGTAAAATGGTCTGGGGAATATTACGTAGGCAGAGTAGCAAGAGGAGAATGAACGTGTGTATATGGCTCGTTAACAGAACATCTAGTGAACTCAGGATATTCGGCTCCATTTGAAAAGATTTCCAAGTCATATACAAGATCCCGTCAAACCTCTCAAAAGGAGTGAGATTAAGGCATCTAGGCGCAGCTAAGGCACTGGTGGTCCAAACGTTCAAGCCAACGGTATGCATTTAAAAGAACTACGTCCAATCGTTGTTTTTACCATGGCCATGTATCATAAACAGTCCCTTCTGTCAATTTTGATTATCCTACTGCGTTTCTTGCCTAAACTTCCTGTTTATTTTTTTTATTGATGTGTTAAATCCCTGTTTGTAGTCTTGCAAATTTAGCCCTTAATCGGAAATAGTTCTGAAACCCCGTAACCCATTTACTATACATACACACGAATGTCCAGCCTAGTTGACAACTTCATTGAAAATAAAATTCTCCTTTCTATAATCCTCTTTTTAATGTTTCTTATTATCTGATGTGAACATTCTGCAATTCTTCAGTATTCCTTAATCCTACTTATGACATCTCATATTCCAGTGCGTTTTAAAAGGCATGCATCGAAATTTTAACACTAAGCTTAGTTGATTATGTCTTGTATGTGCCTTGAAGTATTTAACATAGAATGTTTGCTTTTAATATTGACAATGAGGTTAAAAGCTACCCATAATTTCAAAGTTGACTTTTATCTCAATTAACAACAAATAATGTTTGCATTCTATTTTCTATACAAATCAGATGTGAAAACGATACGACGCTATCAACTGAAACTGATGAGATTATATGTGGAGTGAATGGTACAGTCACTGTATGGAATCCTCAACCATTTCCACAATGTCATCGACATTGTTATCTATTTACAGTTGAACATGGTGATGTCTTTTTAATTCATCGTAGATCTAAAGGGGATAAACAGTTCATACAGATTACTACTGCAGAATTCGGTAACGAAGATGATGATGTTAGTGATGAAGGTGATTATAGACGACTGGTCAATGAAATGTCGGGTAGAATTATTCTACCTGGTGGAAAAGTTAGACATGGTTCAGAATTAAATGTCACCTGTCAAGTTGGATATGCTTTAATTAAACCGAACCAACCACTCACTGTATGTCAAAATGGTGTCTGGAGTGTACGAAGTAAATGTGCACCAGGTAAGTAAAAAACAGAAATGTTTAATGTTTAAATTTTCAACAGCAATGTGAAGTCAGCTAGAGCTCCTAAAGAGGTCAGAAACATGGCTCACGCGTCACAAAAACCATTTTTAACAACCTACTGGAGACCTTCATTGGCGGCTGGCTCCATACTGAAGAGCAGACGGCCGACCAGAAAGAATTAACAACAAGAAACTCTAGGAATAAACCAATGAAGAACCTATGACCCGGCAAATATGTGCAAGAAAATGGAATTGGATAGGTAGGACACACACTCAGAAGACCTTCAGATGAAATCACGCACTAGACTGTCACTCTGGTGAAATCCAAATGTGAAACGACCAGCTGGATGTGTGTCCGAAGATAACATGGAGGAGATCGTGTGAGAAGGAGATGACAGATTATGGGCAATCGTGAGACAGGCTAAACAGGACTGCAGAGAACGAAACAAAATGGAGATATCACGTTGAAGCCTTATGTTCCACCTGGAACCCAACGGAATAATACTTATATAATCTACAGAAAGTCTACTCGATATCATCTTTACTTGATGTGTCACAAAATTACTTGATGGAAGCTAAATATCCAAACCATTAACAATGTTTCTTAACTCTAACAATTGAAGACTAAAGCCACCTAGGTCAACACTTGATGGGAGACAGATTTGTACATCAGCAAAGAGGAAACACTAGTGATCGCCAAAAGAGATGGAAATTAAGCCCATAAAAGGGGTTTCTTTAGTTCACTCTTAATATTTAGTTTTTCAAATGAATGGAGAATTCATGAATAATCCCCATCCAGACATTAATCAAAAAACAAAACACGTAGTTCAGCGAACAATCTCTTTCCGGTTGCGAATTCATTCACTTGGCTAGCTTTATAATCGCAATTATAGATACTTATTTGTGTGTGTGTAGATTAGGTTGGTCCGATAAGAATAAAAATTAGTTAGGGTTATAGTTGTCAAGATATTTCAAAAATGTGATGAATAATCAAATTGTAACTAGGATGGTGGGGAGGACTGGTAGGAGGGTAGTGGTGATGCGTTGTCACAAAACATAGTTATTAATATAGAAAATATCCCCATTTAGACATTTGGAAAACAGAGTAGAGCCAGAGATGAGGGTCTAATTGAAGAGTAAATACTTCTTCGTTCAATCTTTCTAGTATATATAGCATTTTTATTACATAACAGTTTACGAAACAAGTGGTGATATGTTTGTTAACAATAATTAAAGTGTCAAAATGTCAATGGGTTGATAATTAACGAAGAAAATCAATACAAATTTAAAAGGTAGAAATGGACAGAATAAATTAATTTCACAAGGATAACATGTAATTAAAAATGAGGTGGTCAAAATAAAAATAAAATAATTTGGACAATTATAATTTAATACGTTTAGGGGAAGGGGAGCGATGTAGTCCTGTCTATGCATTCTTGTAACGATGGCCACGGTAAGGAAAGTGGCTGTAAAAATTTCTTCTGGACACATAGGCTTGGCTTCTTAAGGTGGATTCCGATTGCTTCAGCTGTCTGTAGAAGACGAACTCGTAGAGCAAAGTTTAGATCAGTCGGAATGGGATAAATAATTTTAAATGCAGTATTCACATCAACCTTATGCTCAGTATCAACAAGGTGTGCTAAAATAGAACTACGAATAGATCTTGTTTGTTTCTTGCTTAACCATGATGGATGATGTTCAGAAATACGATGATGAAACTGCCTAATTGTCCGCCCAATGTAGCTGGCTCCGCAGCTGCAGTCAAACTGGTAGACACACGTAAACGAAGTTGAATAAGCGTAATACAGTTACGTAATAAGATGAATAGTCTAGTGAGTGAGTTGTGACTAGGATTCACATAGAAACAAAAGAAAATATGGGATTATGTAAGGGTTCTAAAAATTACAAATATTATAACGATTTAGAGAAAAGAAGAAAAACAAGCACAGAAACATCAAGTCGGTAAAAGTCAAAACGGTTGTTAACATGATAGTAACATTTATAATAAAATGTACACCCGATATGACTTACTCCGCAGGAACAAGTAAATTGATAAATACACATTAATGTGACCAAATGCGTTACCTCATACTCAACGCTTGACTGGATTAATTGTCTGTTGGAGAAGGTGATTCATAAGATGGGTAACTAAAATGTCTTCTTCAAACATTCGGAAGGGCAATTTTTACGAATTTCCGCCTCAGTGCCAACTATGAATTCTAGGTTCATGAAGAGAGTTGTCATAGGAATTTTCGGCGATGAAGACTTTTCCCTTTTAAGTATGGTGTCACGTTAACATTTTAATCTAGTCTCTATCTTCTTTTCATCTCAACAGATTTTTCGAGTCCTTGAGCATAAGTTACGTGCTGAGTCTTGTTTTTGGACCAGTGGGATGAATCTCCGAAAGTTAATAAACTGCCCAGTCTATTTCGCTTTTCGATATATTGATCTTTCGATCGAATAGTGTTATCTTCTAGTAAGTAGAACATCCAAGAATGGTAAAGGCATGTTATATTCACGTTCTAAGGTGAACTTTGTTGAAGTTTGGGCTGCATTTAAGCTGATAAAAATATCATCTGGGGAGGTTTAATTAACTGATTAAAGGATAGAGGGTGTAGTTTTCAAGAATCACCAGGGACAACATTGGGGTGGATGTGGATTTCGTTACGAACTGATACCATTTAGAGAATTATTGGAAACCTTGAGGTACTGGGCAATACTTAACTACGAGACCATCAAGAGTCGAATCCAAGACTTGTTGGTTGTTAGTTAAACAAACGGACCACTCAACTACATGATTTGAACCCTGTTTATATTTTATGTTTCATGTCCAAATGAATAATGTTTACGTTTTCTCTTAAAAGCTCCATGTAGAAGGCAACCGCCTGTATATCCAGGTGCACGAGCAAGATTTTATAGTCTTCAGCATAATTCTATTGCAAGATATGAAGCATTTCCTGGCTACATAATGCGAAATGACTACAATGACATCCAGCCAATTGGACACACAAAGATGAATGATGCACAAAGTGGTATTTTACGTTGTTTATATGGTGAATGGGTTGGAGCACCGTTAAAATTTGAACCAAGTAAGTTGAAGAAAATGATTCTAAAATATCCTGGACAAAAGTTCCCTTCTTTCTCTTATTGCTGTGTAACTCACTAATGGGGAGTCAAAACTAATAAACCGCGCAGAGAAGTAGTTACTTCTCAATTAGATCTTTGTCTGTAGCTCTACTCTAATACAGGTATGATTTTAACACAATACCAATCTAGAGGCGATAAGTTTGTTAACAATAATTGATCAATACGAACATGTAAAATGGAAAGGGACAATAATTAATCGAAGAAAATAGTTCAACGGTTAAAAGGCATCAAATTTAGTCAGAGATTGATATAAATTGAAGAACCATTGCAAACCAGCCGGTAGTACTGGACAGCTCTTCAGTACTACTCTGTGACTACTCAAACGCGGTATGCACCCACTGGGATTCAAACCCAGAACCTTCCAATTACAGGATAAGCTGTCAGACTACTCGGCTATCGGGAATCACATAGCTCATGAATTCTAACTTTTGAAGCGACCAGCAGCCTGCGTTATCGACGAGCATTTCTTCTCACACCCGACCTGGTGAAACCTACCTGCCACGACTACTTCCTAATACTCCAAGCAACTTCACCCTGAATTCAGTCAAAAGTGGGCACCAAATCCCTACAAACAAACTCAAATTATAGGGTAGTAATATTCACAAAAATTAAATAAGTGGTCGTATATTGCATGATTCAAAAAAGAGGGATAAATGAGTGATCAGTTTATTGAAATCGATTACAAATGAAGATCACTTAAGGTTGAAATAAACAGATCGGTAAGTTAACTTAAATGACAATAACTTCTTAATAGTATAGAAGGATTGGGAAAATAGATCCAACTTGTTCAGGAGGATTCTGATGACTTTTCTGAACATGTCTCAAACACCAGCCTCCTTATCAGTCAGCTCATCATACATACCGATGACCAACGCATCTCTTGAAATCGTATTGGTAACTGCCTGATACTCGCACTATTCGGCATATTTATGCATGAAGTAAAATGGTGTATACTGTTGGTCGATTAATATGAGTAGCAGGATGCCACTCATGTCAAACAGTAATGCTTACTAGTCAGACTGTGGTGATCTAAAAAACCGTTTAGCAGTTTCGTTTGTTTTTTGAGTCGAGCTCAGCAGCTGTGTACTCGATTCGACTATGCTGAGAAAGTCGAATCAGTCCAATCCACTCGGGTCCTGCCAACAAGCACGACACCTAGGTTCAAGGCTTCCTGCCAGCTGCCACCAACCATTAAATAACAACAATCCTGAGTGTACCGTGATGGCGAACCACCTAACATGGTGGTCACATTCCAGACTTGACTGATAGAATTCAGTCTGCAGTAAATAAAAGGACTAGACACATGACATTAGTTACTGTCCAGTCAAAAAAATCATTATATGCATAAAATGATATTAATAATACTAATCATCACTTTATTCTAAAGAATAACAGTCATACAGAATGAGATTTTCAGCGTTACATAGTAAAATTAAAGAGAGAATAGAAACATCCAGTTAGTTGCCAGGGCAAAAGAAGACTGATAGCTGCTTCTTTCTGAACACAAAAATCGGGTCTCAAACGTTTGATAGAAACTGCTTCGGCAAACCTGTGGAGAATTGAGCTCTCTTTTGCCTAATGATAATTTTGAAGGATTTAACGATGTCCACTCCATGATTCGTGTGAAGGAGATGTCTGACAGTGGCACTATGGAAGGCGTTTGTTCCCTTGATACCTGCTCTTTTTGGTACATGTTCATAAAATTGGAGGTATGCCCTTGTTTCCTTTTTAAATGTAACTGCTCCCACAAATACATGTAAATCTATGTATATAGTTAGAGTTAACATGGGGAGGGTATCTGTCAACATTTGATTGCACCATAGAGCATGTTGTCCAATAAACGGTAACCAACTTAGCTATAGGATAGGTCCTGGTTAGTGACGTATTCACTCATCTTCCAGGCATTGCTTGGCGGTTTCAAGGAAATGGGACTTTCCATTATCTCCATGTTCCGTGGTAAATTTGATATGCATCGTTGAATAATCCTAGTAGGTAGGAAGCATGACTTTCATTGTTGCACACTACAAATATGTCACGACACATCGACAATAAGCCGTTTCGTCGATTGCATGCTTCAACAAAATAAATCATCTTACCGTCTTATTCTGTACAGACTGTTCTCCATGCTTTATCCAAATCCATAAAGGAGTATAAATGTATGATATCAGTTCATTATTTTAATGTGATGTTATTTAATAACTGGCTTTCTGCATATTTAATTTCTTGTTTACATTAATTTCAGTGCATTGTCCCCATATTGACATAGAAGAACCATTAAAAGCAAATGTGTCAATAGATGGTAAACTAATGGATTTCAGCAATCCTACAACTGTTTTACAACAAGGCGCAGTTATGATATTCTCTTGTCCTAAAGAATACTACTTAGATGGTCCAAAATATATTGCCTGTCATATTGGTCATTGGACACCACAACCAACAACATCATGCAAACGATCACCAACACTGTCTATCGTACAAAGATGGTTGTTCAGTTCAGTTTAGTGATTCTGTTCAGCAGTGTGGAGTGACATCTTGAACGTACTACTGAATCTCTGTGTTATTAGTAGTTTAGTAAGTTAATACATTAATTTTCTTTTGGTGAGGTGGGTATTTGGATAGGTGGATGCATTAAAATAAAACTTCATTTAAAGTTAGCTTTATACCCTCACTTGATTGAAATCCTTTTATATGTTGGTAATTACTTCCCTTTTTGGCCTAGTCATCCAGAGATTATTATTATTATTTCCTTTAATTCCTAGAGGAACATAGGGCTTCAGCCATGCGTCTCCATTGCCTTCGGTTCTCTGCTGTAGTTTTCACCTGGCTCCAAGTCTGCCCACACGCTTTCAATTCCTCTTCACATGGCCTCCTCCAAGTCACTCTTGCACTGACGACCAACTCGTCGCTTCCCTTTCGGGTTCCACTCGAGCGATGGCTTGTCTAGTGATGTCACTTGCTGGATTCCTCAGAGTGTGTCCAATCCATCTCCATTTCTTCCTGCCTATTTGTTTCACGATCGGTTCCTGGTTGGTTCGCTCCCAGAGATTGCCGTTTCGAAATCCTGCTGCGATGTAAACTTTTATTTCACCCTCAATTACCCCGCTGATTGTATCAATCAACTATGACTATAATTTCTGCTGTCACTTTAAGACGCCACATCACTTAAGGGGAAAATTCCGTTTTAACCTTAATTTAGAATTATTTCAATTAGTGTTATTTATAAGTCAAATGATGAATTTATAAATGCATTTCGAAATTTAGAAATGTATCACCTAGAATATTACTACAATCTACATCTTAGAAATGTAAATTGTTTACCATGGCAACAAATATGTTAGCAGTAGGTGTTTGTAATGTCTTAAACGATGGGTTCTGCGTGCTAGTCTTAGTAAATATACTACAAATGAGTGTGTCCAACTAACGAATCTCTAATATGCCAAAACACGACTTCTGAACTAACCGTTTCAGCTTCCATCATAAGAGTAATACTTAGTTGAACTGGCCCTTCTGAATTTCAAATTCAGTAACTAGTTAATCTGATATTTTAAGAATAAGTATACATTATGAATGATGCGATTTGAAGTGATATTAACCGCTTAGACTATGAACGATTCTAAGGGATTCTTTGTTTCACTGAGTATCCATAGATATCTATCACTGTGTTTGCGGAAGATGAGAGAGTTTGGTCAATCATGGACCCAGCTGAAGAGGACGGTAGAAAACGGAACAAAGTGGAGATCTGTTGTTGAAGCCCTTTGTTCCGCTTGGAACGCAAGGGAATAATAATAAATATAATGTTGTTTACGGTGCTTTTATTCCCTCTCTTACGGTTATAATTATCATTCCTAAGTGGAACCCAGGGCTTAACCAACTCATCGCCATTTCACTATGAACTACAGTTTTATTTAGCTGGCTGCATGACTGCCTGCAAGCTTTCATTTTGTCCTCCATATCATTTTTCGGATGCCAAACTCGTCGTTTCACAATCGGGTTCCGCTCGGTATGTGGCGTCACTCCGCAGTTTCCCCGTCATGTGTCCTATCCATCTCCATTTCCTTCAGCATATTTGTCGAATGACAGATTTTTACTTAGTTCATTGGCAGAGCTGCTTGTTGCCAGTCCTTCAAGAAAAGCTAACTGATATTCGCTACCGAATGTGAGCAACGCTTGATGAAAGTCTCAAGTTTTTTGGAAGTGCTTCTCATGGTT